AGCAGGCAGGACCCAGGAGAAACGAGCCGTGCTGACACATTGATCTTGGACTTCCAGGTCCTCTGTTATGGCAGCCCCAGCAACCTAATACAGGGCCTTTAAACATTTTGTGTGTTGTATGGCTGGGCGAGGTGGCTCATGCCTGTAATCCCCATGCTCTGGGAGGCCGAGGTAGGAGGACTGCTTGAGCCCAGGAATTTGAGACCAGCCTGGGCAACATAGTGAGATCCCCATCTCTACAAAAAATAAACAAAATTAACTGGGCATGGTGGTGTGCACCTGCAGTCCCAGCTACTTGGGAGGCTGAGGTGGGAGGATTGCTTGAACCCAGGAATTAAAGATTACAGTGAGCTATGATCATGCCACTGCACTCCAGCCTGGGTGATAGAGGGGACTCTGTCTCAAAAAAAAAAAAAAAAATCTCTGTTATAGCAAGTTAGAAGCCCACAGATTTCAGGAGCCCAAAGGGCTGTTCATCTTTGTCACTCTTTCTGATGAGACTGCTAGTTTTACAGTCATAAGTGCTATTTCTAGGCCTAGTATTTTGGAAGATGGGCTTTATGTATGTCTCTGTGTGTGTTTGCACGTCTATGTGCACTTGTGCTTCCCAGTCACACCATAGTGTAGCCCCCTTTCAGACCTAAGGTGGATTTTAGTGACATCACTGCATATCATTTCACAAAGCTGAGCTGTAGAGCCCTTTACTCTTTCATTACACTGGGACAAGTTTTCTTTATTAAAGTACATGCAGAAACCATCAGGCAAACAGAACTTGCCCTGAAATTGCTTGCCAATTTTAAATTCAAACAGTAAGACTGGAGGATGTTTTAGTCCTGATGTTCTGTGAATCTTCTGCGGATGGCTGGCTGAGCAGCTCTTCTCTGTGGACAAAAAGGATTATCACAATCGTCACGGTTAATAAACGACTGCCTGGAAACAGCAAGGTGCTTGGATGGCGCCTGGCCTGACTGCCATTTCCAACAGCTTTTACTCATCCTGATGAGATTTCAGAGCCTTGCCACTCATGAGCTGTTGTGAGAGCATGCAACTGTATAAACGCCACCTGACTCTGTGAAACTATAGTTTCCTCACCTGTACAACAACCACCAAAAGAGCAGAACCAGGGAGGTTCAAACATCCTCAAACATCCTCCATTCTCTGCTGGCCCAGAGTATGGCACAAGCAAGTACGAAATGCTTCCTGCTGCTGCTGCTGCAGTTATCATTATCAACACCGTGTCATGCCGAATTGTATGGTTGGCTCTGAGGGGCCAGGAGAGGAGTGAGGAATTGTCACTCAATTGCCATTTGGTTCCCTGCCCCTGGCGATGCCTAATTAACTAAAAAGGGGACACTCAGGAGGTGAGCTGCAGTGAAAGCAGGGCTCTGAGTCAGTGCACCATCAAGCAGCTTTTGGGGACCCCGCTGCTCACACAACTGCAAGAACAAGGTCCCCGGCCAGTCACGCCATCGTCCCACGCTCCAAGCCTGGAATGGAAGCCAGTAAACTCTGGCACTCTTCATGGCCAGCATCCCCCAATGCTGATGCTACTTTGTCTAGGTTTACAGAGTCCGAAAATGCAGTTTTTGTAGGTTAAGCTATGTCCTAGATGCAAGCACTGTGCTGGGATTACAGGCTACTTTCATTTCAAAACCAACATCTTCCAGTTTTTGAATGCCAAAAATCTTCCAATGGAGCTGTGGGTTGTATTCTTTTGGTTCAGTAATTAATAAAGGATGCAAATAATTATCTAAAAGTGTACTTTTAACATTTTCACCAGTTCATTCTAAAAGTACAGAGCTTTAAAATCCAATTATAAAAAATGAAGAGTTACCTAAAAATGCCTCTAGTCAAAAGAGGGTTTAGTAATATACAAAGGGGGAAGATATGTATATCATTATTTCTACATAGAATATATCATATGGGAAATTTATATATTAATTTAAGATAAACACAATTCATATAGCAACATGCAAGAGATTTTGGTAACACAGGCCAGAGAGCCAGTTAAAAGCCTCACAAAATGACTGAATTTATCACATGATGTGATAAACCTAAGCTTTTAATTGTACACAAAATTGTTAAGCAGATATTGTTACACACAAAACTCTTAAAATTGTTTTACGATTTCTCTAAAAGTACAGAAACAGCATATCCTCAATTCAGAAAGTTCAGCTGAGCAGTGAATGTTTTCCTCTATGAAAGAAGCAAACCAGCCTTTTCTAACTCTGTAGCTTACGAAAATGAATCCTAAAAAAGAAATCCCGACAAGTATCAGAACATAACTGGAATATAACGACTCTCCCTTTTAAAGTAATTATCGGTTTGGTAGCTGTCCCAGTTCTCCTTGAATACCTAATCAGGTATTTTGATTGCTTTCCCAAAGCATATTACCTCTAACTGAGGAAATAATTTGGTAACTACCATATGTGCTCTGAACAACCAGTAGGTAGTGAATTTGCAAAAGCACAGAAAGAGACAATCAACCTCAGGTGACCTGAAACACCGTCAGAATCCTTTTGTGGACGGAATCCTAAAACATTAATGACTATTCATTTCTTCCTTTCTTTCATTGCATTTTGAATATTTTATGTATGCCACACATTACTCTCTCTTAGACAGCTGTATGTTGGAAGCAGCATGAAAAAAATGCAAAGAAATTGAACCGGCACTTTAAAAAGTGCTGAGTTTTTGCCTCTATTTTAGATGTGGAATAGACAATATAATACCATATGCTAGGTGGAGGGCAATGGGTTCGATTAGGATTTTATTAAACTAAGAAATGAAAAAGTTGATAATTACTTTCAATAAAGAAATCTCTCACTTGTAAATTGTACATGAGAATCTCAATTTTAAATACAGAGAAAAGAAAATATACTTACAAGGACCCGTGTATTGATATACTGCCAATTGGCATATGGGCACCAAAGGAACTATTACAACTCAGAGCATTAATGTAAAAATGGGAAGCATTTAATTTCCTAAAGTTCCTCTCTCTCTTAAAAAAAATTCCCCATTTCTCATTTCAAACCTTTATTTTCTTTCATCTTTCAAAATATAGGCAGTGGTCCAGTTCATCTCTAAGATCTCTTCCAAGTCTTAAACATTAGGACTCTGTGATCCCAGAAGGGAATACACATTCCTCTTCCCCTGATCCCCAATGTCATCTTCACTGTGGAGAATGAAAAACAATAACAGACTGTTCCAAAGAATTCTGATTAGCAATGATTCAAGAAGCAAATAACCAAGGCATTTCTGCAAAGAATTCTTCCACATCATTTGTATAAATCCTATTTGAAAAATAAAACTGAGATTGCCTACCCCCCATGCTTACATTCTATCACATGAATCTCTCATCAGACTCAACATTTAACTGCAGGATGGAAAACAAACCTCTGATATTAAAGCACTAAGCCTCCCTCAGCTGAAGATGTTTTTCTAGAGTTGTTACATCCACGCGATTTCTAACTCGGGAAATATGTGGAATCTAAACCTTAGAAAAGAGAGCCTGGCAGGATGGGTCAGGAATTACCTGACCTTCTCTGCTGGAGTTAGGATGCTATTTGTTTGGAATCCCAGGGGTTCCAGCTTTAGTGAAATTGGCAGAACAAGCATTATTTGATTAGTATGAAACAGCCTGCAGTGAAAGGGACAGACACACAGGCCAGGCGGGGAAGAAGCGGTGGCTTCTGATAGGCCGCCTGTAGAAAGATCAAGCCGAGGTCATTCGGGGTCTTTTAAAGAAAACAATGATTTTTCATAAATCTAAAAGATGTCCACATAGCAATGTAATGTTCTTAAGTAATGCTTAATATTGATTCAGGAAAACACCAGAGAACTCAACCGCAGTCGACAGCATATAATTCGAGCAGATAACACCATCACGCACTCACCCTGCTCTCAAGTACTTTGGGGTTTCTTTGCGTAAAGCTGCCATCTGATGCAATAGGTGAGAGGGCTCAGAACTGTTTCGCCCTTATATTGGTATTGCGTTAAAATCTTTAGCTCTGATAAAGGGTTTTAACTGCTTGGGGCAGTGGGGTGAGGGGATGAGGAAAAAGAAGCAGGTCTGAAAGAGACCAAGACCTGGAACGTCTACCCCAGAGGTGGTGGTCCTAAGGGGTTCGGGGAAGGAACGGGGTGCTCTGAGGGAAGAACAGGCATTGCCGTGACGGGGTCTGGTCTTGTCCCTTAAGGGAATGCCCAAACCACACCTCCGCCTCTCTAGAGTGAGCTCCCAAGAGCAAAATTTTCACCTTTCCAGGAGAGGCAGCCCAGAAGAAGGGAGGGGGCGGATTTACAAGCAGGCAGCTGTCCCTCCCCAGGGCACCCACCTGCAGACCTCCCACCCGAGCCTTCTGCGGAACTGTGTGTGTGTGTGTGTGTAGGGGGTGTTGGGGGTGGGTGGGAGATCAGCTGGGTTGGACACTTAAATCCTGAGGTCCAGGAAAAGTTCTCACCTTCATAGAGATTATAGGGACAGGAGATTGAGGAGCAGACAAGGGAGGGGCGAGAAAAGGGGAGATGGAGGGGAAAGAAGAGTAGTGGAGCCAGGGAAGGTGGAGAAGGAAAAAATGGAAAAGGAATGGGGGTGGGAATAGATGGGGGGACAGAGAAAGGGGTGAGGGGAGAAAGAGTCCAGGAGGAAAGGGAGAGGACGGCATGGGAGAGGGAGGCTAAGGAAGAGGGGTGGGAGAGAATTATGGAGGGATGAGGAGAGAACGAGCAAGCTAGAGAGACCAGAGAGACCGGCAGAGACCGAGACCAGACCCGGACGGGAGAGACGGGACGGAAAGCAGGGGCAGGAAGAAAACGCTCAGGGAAAAGAGGCGGAGGCGCTCGGAGCATCCCCGTGGGGCGCTGGTGTAGGCAGAGCCGGGAGCTAGACGGCCGAGAGGCCGACGCAGGCCCTCATCTCCGGGCCCCGGCGCCCGGCGGCGCTGAAGACCCGATTGCCGCCCCGCGCCCCCAGCCCCGCCGCTCTGGCGCGCGCGCCTTACCTGGCCCTTGACCAGGCTGGCTGCGAACTGGCGCATGACGGCCTCCACGGTGTAGGCGCTGGACCAGCCGCGCGGCGTGAGCAGCTCCATGCAGATGGCGCCGCCGTCCAACACGTAGCCGTTCTCCAGGCGCGGGCTGAGCACCCGCATGAAGGGCGGCGAGAAGGGGAAGTTGTCGGGGAAGGTGAGATTGAGCAGAATGAACTCGGTGTTGGTTTCCTTCATGTCCTGCCACAGCACCGAGTCCTTGTCCACCTGGTGCAGCTTCACGTTCCAGTCGAACAGGCTCTCGTCAACCAGCTCCACGGAGATGAAGCGGTCGCTAAGGCGCGCGATGTCCTGCAGCTCCTTCATGAGCCGCCGGCTGCGCACCTGCGTGCAGTGCTGCTGGCGCGCCGCAGGGACCAGGCTGCCGCCCGCCGCCGCCGCCACCGCCGGGCCCGGCCCCGCCCTGGCGCCCGCCGCCCTCTCGCGGGGGCCCCCGGCCCCCGCCGCCGCCGCTGCTGCCGCAGCCGCCGGCGCCTTGTCGCGCGGGGCCAGCTCCGCCGCGCGCTTGCCCTTGCCCTTGCCGGGCCCCGGGCTGGCGTCGCCCGCGCCCCCTGGGTGCTGCTGCTGCTGGGGCTGCTGCTGCTGCTGTTGCTTGTGCCCGCCGCTCTTAGCGCCGCCCTTGCCGCGCAGAGACGCGCTCTGCTGGCCGCCGCCGCGGTGGTTGTGGTGGTGCTTGGGGTCCTCGGTGTCCCGGTTATGCAGGCGGATAAGCCCGATCTTCCGCAGCAGCGTGGCCATTTTAGGCTCGGCGCCGGCTGGGGGCTCTCGTCGGCTCCTCCCCCGGAGCCGGCGAGCCCGGGCGCGGGGCGGCGGCGGCGGGCGACCGCTCAGCGGGGCGAGGCAAGGGCCACCCCAAGCGCCAGCGGCCGTGGCGCAGCGGAGCAGGCAGCACGCGCGCTCGCCGGTTGCGGCGTCGCCGCTGTCATATGACGGGGCCCGCTCCGGCTCGCTCTCCGGCCACCCGGGGAGGGGAGGCGTGGAGGGGACGCGGCGCGGGCGGGGGTCCCCGGGCCGGTCCCTAGGCACAGCCCCCCGAGTCCCGGCGTCTGCTGTCCTTTGTGCGCGGCGGTGGCCGCGCTGGCCCCGAGTCCGAACGCCGCGCCGGGGCGCGCAAAGCCGCCCGCAGTGCCCGGGAGGCAGCGAGTGGCCGCGGGCTCGCGCCTGGCGCTCCTGCGGGCCGTGCCGCGCTGGCGGCTACCGCGGGGCCCTGGCTGCTGCCGCTCGCGTCGCCGCCGCCGCTGCGGCTGCTGACATTGCAGAGGCTGCTGCTCTGTCTGAGCAGAGCGCGGCGCGGAGGGGGCGGCCCTGCTGGCCGGGAGGGGGGGAGCGGGGCGGAGCCGCCGGCTTGCCTGTGCCGAGCCGCCCCCGCCGCCCGCTCCCGCGGCGACACGCGCGCGGCCGCTGGGGGGAGACCGCGGTGCGCGCCGGGCCGGCCGGGCTAGGGGCTGCGGGGGGCGCAGGTCGGGCCGGGGGAGCCGGGCGGGGGCTGGGCGCGGGGTGTGAGCCTGGCGCTCTCGCGGGGGTCTCAGGCACGGGACCCTCCTGCCCGGATCTCGGGTAGCCGCGGCCCCCAGCCCAAGCTTCAGACCCCATTTAACCCCGTTAGCGAGATCTGGGGAAGGGTGGGAGGCAGCCTATAGATGCCTTCGGGTCGGAAGGAGCCTGGGGTTTCCGCACAGCTCGGGGCCGGCTGGGGCCACGTTCTTAAGGACCGATCCAAGAATCGGGGCCGGGGAGTTGGGGGGCCGGGGAGTGTGATGTCCGGAGCGTGCCCGCCGCGATCCCCGAAGAGAAGCACCCTGAGTCACGACTTTGTTTTGCTGGTTGACCCCTCCTCGCCGACCCTGCTCCCCTTCCGCCCGCCGCGCCGAAGGCCTCCGCATTCCCAAGAGGGGTCCCGGGAGGAAGGGCCCGCGGAGCGCTGCCTAGTGACTCGTTTCTGAAGGCTGCGGAGAAGCGCGCCCAGAGCGGGCAGTCGGGGCTCAGGGGCAGGGCACCCCCTCTGCGGATCCCGGAGTGCCGGCGGCACGGGATCAGTCCGCCTTCCACTGGGATGCTGGAATCCCCGCCGCCCTTCCCTTCTTGAACCCATTAAACTCTCTCTGCCTCTGGCGACATTTCAAGCAAAAACCAAGTTTAGATCCCCAGGAACTGGAGGACTGGGAACCCCGAAGCTTCCACGTTTGCAGGAAGATCTTGCTCTGCACTGTGTGGTGTGTGTGTGCGAGTGTGGTGTGTGTGCTTGTCGTGTGGGGTGTGTGTAAGTGTGGTGTGTGTGTATGTGGTATGTATGAGTGTGGTGTGATGTGTGTGAGTGGTGTGTGTGGGTGTGTGTGGTGTGTGTGAGGGTGGTGTGTGAGAGTAGTGTGTGGTGTATGTGTGAGTGTATTGTGTGTAATTGTGGTGTATAGTGTGTGTGGTGTGTGTGGTCGTGTGAGCATGGTGTGTGGTATGTGTGAATGGTGTGTGGTGTCTGAGTGTGGTGTGTGGTGTGTGTGGTATTTGCATGGTGTGTGTGAGCATGGTGTATGAGTGTATCGTGTGTGAATGTTTCATATGTGTGTGATGTGTGTGGGGTGTGTGAGCATGGTATATGAGTATGTGGTGTGTGTGTGGTATGTGTATGTGCATGTGTGTGCTTGTGTGTGGTGTCTGTGTGATATGTGTGTGTGGTGCGTGTGACTGATGTGTGTGGTGTGTGAGTGTGGTGTGAGTGTGTAATATGTGTGTGGTGTGTGTCTGTGATGTGTGTGGTGTGCGTGTGTGGTGTGTGTAGTGTGAGTGTGTGGTGTGTGTAGTGTGTGTGTTGTGTGTGTGGTGTGTGTAGTGTGTGTGTGGTGTGTATGTGTGATGTGTGTGTGGTGTGTGTGTGATGTGTGTGTGTGATGTGTGTGGTGTGTGTGGTGTGAGGTATGTGGTGTGTGTGTGGGATGTGTGTGTGGTGTGTGTGTGATGTGTGTGTGATGTGTGTGGTGTGTGTGGTGTGAGGTATGTGGTGTGTATGTGTGATGTGTGTGTGGTGTGTGTGTGATGTGTGTGTGTGATGTGTGTGGTGTGTGTGGTGTGAGGTATGTGGTGTGTGTGTGGGATGTGTGTGTGGTGTGTGTGTGTGGTATGTGTAGTGTGTGTGGTGTGTGTGACTGGTGTGTGTGAGGTGTGTCTGGTGTGTGTGGGATGTGTGTGTGTTGTGTGAGTGTGTGGTATGTGTAGTGTGTGTGGTGTGTGTGGTGTGAGGTATGTGGTGTGTGTGTGGGATGTGTGTGTGGTGTGTGTGTGTGGTATGTGTAGTGTGTGTGGTGTGTGTGACTGGTGTGTGTGAGGTGTGTCTGGTGTGTGTGGGATGTGTGTGTGTTGTGAGTGTGTGGTATGTGTAGTGTGTGTGGTGTGTGTGGTGTGAGGTATGTGGTGTGTGTGTGGGATGTGTGTGTGGTGTGTGTGTGTGGTATGTGTGATGTGTGTGTGGTGTGTGTAGTGTGTGTGTGGTGTGTGTGAGATGTGTGTGTGTGATGTGTGTGAGTGTGTGGTGTGAGGTATGTGGTGTGTGTGTGGGATGTGTGTGTAGTGTGTGTGGTGTGTATGTGTGATGTGTGTGTGGTGTGTGTAGTGTGTGTTGTGTGTGTGGTGTGTGTAGTGTGTGTGGTGTGTGTGTGATGTGTGTGTGTGATGTGTGTGAGTGTGTGGTGTGAGGTATGTGGTGTGTGTGTGGGATGTGTGTGTGGTGTGTGTGTGGTATGTGTAGTGTGTGTGGTGTGTGTGACTGGTGTGTGTGAGGTGTGTCTGGTGTGTGTGGGATGTGTGTGTGTTGTGTGAGTGTGTGAGTGTGTGGTGTGTGTAGTGTGTGGGGGTGTGTGAGTGTGTGTGTGGGATGTGTGTGTGTTGTGTGAGTGTGTGGTGTGTGTAGTGTGAGTGTGTGGTGTGTGTGTTGTGTGAGTGTGTGTGTGAGTGTGTAGTGTGTGTGTGTGTGTGTGGTGTGTGTGTGCGGCTGAGCTGCCCAGTGGTGAGGCTACAGTGATGGTGAGGTACAGAAGAGATGACCCTGGAAGCTTACAGGGTTTAGGATTGTAAACCTCGCTGCTGCTGCTGCTGCTGCTGCTGGTTTGACTTTGAACTTGAGGAGCGTCCGCGTTCTCCAGGAAAGCCTTTCATTCTGGGCGCCGTCATGGTGACTTCTTGTTTTTAACTTCTTTCAACATTTTTACCTTTTCTAAATTATTAGAAATTTTCACTGAAAAATAATTCTTCTGGCCACTGTGGAGACAGTTTCAGGCCTGAAGGATCTGGAGTGGGGCGATTTGGGGTTGTCTGCAGTTGACAGCGTGAGCTAAAAGAGCAGGGGTGCCTGCACGCCTGGGTCCCCGACAGACGACTGGCAGACGTGTGCGTCTGTGGAGGCCTGGGGGCCTGTGCTCTCAGGTGGGTGCCGTGGCCGTGGAAATCGCAGCTGCGACGGGAGGGCCTATTTGCCCTGGTTTTATGGTTGTTGTTTTTTTGTTTTGTTTTGAGACCCTGCTCTATCCAGCCCTGTGTTTGTTTGTTTGTTTGTTTGTGTGTGTGTGTTTATTTATTTGTTTTTGAGATAAGGCGAGAAGGAGGATGACAGTGTCTCTCGGTAAAGTTTTGTGAGCTCATCTGACATGAGGGACGGGGCAGGGCGCCAGGCCCTACATGTTTTATTTAACTTCCACAGAGGCCCTCTCAGGTTTCATCTGACCCCTTTCATTGGTGTAGAAACGGAGTCTCAGGGAGGCCCAGCCACTTCCCCAGCTCAGCCACGTGCTGGGAGGCCCAGCTGGGGTCCACACCCAGCGGGGACCCCCTGCGCCAGCTCCGTGCTTCTCTACCTGATGCCCCACGCCGGCTGCATTGCTGGGTCTCAGATGCAGGTGCGGTCTCCGTCCTGCCCCAGGAAGTGAGAAAGCGTCTCCTGGGCGTGATTGTACGGAAACCCGCTGACCTGGTTTTTTTTTTTTTTTGAGACGGAGTCTTGCTCTGTCACCCAGGCTGGAGTGCTGTGGCCGGATCTCAGCTCACTGCAAGCTCCGCCTCCCGGGTTCCCGCCATTCTCCTGCCTCAGCCTCCCGAGTAGCTGGGACTACAGGTGCCCGCCACCTCTCCGGCTAGTTTTTTTTTTTTGTATTTTTTAGTAGAGACGGGGTTTCACCGTGTTCGCCAGGATGGTCTCGATCTCCTGACCTCGTGATCCGCCCGTCTCGGCCTCCCAAAGTGCTGGGATTACAGGCTTGAGCCACCGCGCCCGGCCCCTCAGCAACTCTTTGTAGCAGTGACAACAACAGATCCCACTTGAAGCAGAGACGTCATCAGATGTGGTTTGGGAATAGTTTAGCTGAAATTGCGGGTGGCTCTATGTGAGGCCTCTGTTTCTAGATGGAGTTATTGCTAGGGAGATCAAATACCTTACTGTCTGGTTGTAGATATTTTTTTGAAAGTGGAAGGATCACAATTAATACTGATGCTGGGTCTGGGATCACGCCTGTAATCCTAGCACTTTGGGAGGCCAAGGTGGACAGATGGCTTGAAGTCAGCAGTTTGAGACCAGCCTGGCCAACATGGTGAAACCCCATCTCTACCAAAAATTACAAAAATTACCCAAGTGTGGCGGTACACACCTGTAATCCCAGCTACTTGGGGGGCTGAGGCAGGAGAATCACTTGAACCCAGGAGGTGGAGGCTGCAGTGAGCTGAGATTGGGCCACTGCACTCCAGCCTGGGTGACAGAGCAAGATCCTGTCTCAAAAAAAAGAGAAACTTTTGCTGAGACAAGAGGCCAAGCCAGAACAGAGTGGCATGGAGATGGTCATCACCTCCCTTGTTCCTGTCCCTCACACTTAGGGCACCTTGGATCAACTCTTAAAAAGGCTGAAGCCAAACGTTAAAGATTGGAAACAACCTAAATTTACAAAAGAGGGGAAGTGTTAAGTAAATCACACTGAATCAACTTAGAATATATTTTGCAGCAAGAACGTTATAGTTATCAAGATTATATTGCAAAATGGAAATATTCATGATCTACATAATAATTTGAAGTGAGAAAGTAGAGTGTAAAATTATATCCACACGGCAGCTACAACTACATAGAACTATGCATGGAAAAAAAGACTAGAAGGAGAAATTTTGAATGGTGTTATCACTATTATCTCATTAGTACAGGTAGAACATCTCAGTTTAGTCCTTCCTCAGTTCTCCAGCCC